GACGTCACTTAGGGGTACAGCACTTGACTAGCATGTGCAAGGTCCTGGGTTCAATCCCTAGTATTACAAAAACAATCAAATAGTAAATTTTTACAAATAAGCAAAAAATTGGTATATAAAGAGAAAGTCTCGAGTGTAAAAAAGAATGATTTCAAAGGAGGGACTATCAAAACTTGATCAACAAAGCAGTTAGAAGCCCCCTTCGTCCTCCCTCTACCAAATGACAGATTAATCATTGTTTGCTGAAATGGCCCAGAAGCCAGTGCTGTGGGACTGGAGTAACGACTGGTGTTCAGACTCCACCCGGGGAGAGAAAAGCACTGGATTTGTGTACACACACACACACACACAAATATATATAAATTACAAATAAACATTTATCATTTCTTCAAACTCCTCTGTACTATCTATTTTGAAATACACAACTCAATGTCAATAATAGCCGCCCTATTGTGCTGTGGAACATTAGAATCATTCCTTCTGCTTAGCAATGTGTGAGACCCTGGATTCAATCCCAGCACTGGGTGGAAAACAAAACAAACAAAAATCATTTTTTCTACACAACTGCAACCCCGTGCCTGTTCACCATCCTCTTGTTACCGGGCAAACGCCTGCCTTGGAGCTGAGCAGCCACAGCAGTCCTCTCTCGCCCATTCTTGTGATTACTCCAGAAAGATTTCAGCCGTGTGGCTCAGAGTAGCAGGTGTGCGTTTACTAGACGTGATAGGAAAGGGGATACTCTAAAGGGAGAGAGTGGGTCCTCACAGAGCAGAGGGACGTTTGGCCTTTCCTGCCCTCCAGTTTGATGGGGAGTTCCAGGGACATTTCCAGAGAGTCCTGCCCGTCCACCTCTTGACTTTTGACTGACAACAGGATGACATCAGATTTTCAAGTCCCCACTATGCTTGGTAAAGGTTTAGGACAACTCTAGGTCACTTGGGCCCATGCCAACCAGTTCTAATTGGAACCTGTTCTTACAGGTTTTGTGATTAGCCAGAATTATCTCCCTGAATTCTAGGGTCATAAAAGGTCCCCCTCCCCTTCAGGGTAACCTATGTTCTCCCTATGGGAATTTCTGGTCTGGATTTCTCCTGTAGACAACAGATTGGTTGCTGAGGAAGGTAACATAAATCCTATTGACTTAAGCAGGGCCAGGCTGCTAGTAAATTGCTTTTTGAAAGAAAGCATGTGGGGTCACACACTGGGCCCAGTTTATAGAACCCTTAACCTCATGTTCCCACCACTCAAGCTATTACCTATCACTCTCTCCTTCTCTCCTTTCTTCTCCTTCTCTCCTTCCCACCAGGTTCTGATAACCACTGTTTGACTCTAAGTCTATGAGACCATTTCTTTTCAGCTACACATATAAGTGAGTACATGCACTATTTGTCTTTCTGTGCCTGATTTATTTAACACAATGTCCTCCAGTTCCATCCGAGCATTGGATTTGGTGGTCTCTTATGACTAACGACACCGTTTTCTAAATAAGCTGGCATCTAAAACTTTCGGGTGAGAGGCGGAAGGAGGTAAAAGAGACGTGGAAATAACAGCAGGACTCATGGGCTGAAGTGCAAAGTGGTTAAATTTAGACCCTTCCCTGAACACTCTGTAGGTGAAAAACCGGGCAATTGATTTCTACTTCTCACTACTTTTCTTCTGTGCACACTGAAGATGAAGGGTTAGAGTGGTCCAACGTGCATGGGTTTTGGGGGTTGGGGGTAGTATGTACATGTGCTGACTAGTAAACTCTAATTTCTCTCCTAGCTTTGTACATTCAAGGGAACTCTTCATTCAAAGAGCAAATAGTAACCCATGATCAAAACTGCCATAGTCTCTTCAATTATATGTGCATAATTTTGGTAAAAGGATTCTTTCTAATTTCTTAAGTTTGCTACACCTTTGGGATATAAGCAGTGACATTTTTGATATTAGGTTTTTTGAAACAGACAGATCAGAAAATGTTTCACTTTAAGAAATGATCAGTGAGGGAAGGTTACAGAATGTGGTCAGTTCTCTTTCTTGCTTTAGCCCCAGCCTTAGTATAACCTCAGGGTTTTTAAGAGCTGTTAAAAAGCATCCAGTTCCTTTCTTATTTTAAAAATTGCCAGCTGGGCAGAGAGAGCCTTTGTGGCTTCAGCCCATGAGAGCCAAAAAACATTTTTAATTGCACCCAGTCACTGGAAAGCAAGGAGATCGATAGTCAATGCTCATTTTTGAATTTAAATGTCAAAATCTGATGCGGTTCCAACTCATAATACCAACATAAATCAGTAGAAATCTGAAACTGTTCTTTGGTTTGTTGTGATGGCTAAGGTCCTAAGCACTGAAGAAAGAGTAAACCTGGCATGGATCAAATTGTTCTAGATGTGTTCCTGTCAAATGGTAATACTGAGAGGAGAGATGTCCCTTCAGAAATCCTGCTAAGTGGTGGCTTTGCCCCACCTCCAAGCAAAGATGTCTTTAGTTGCGCTAAAGTGTCACCTAGTGGTCCTTATGGAAAACACATGCTCTGCTAATAGACCTTATTCCTGCCTTGAGAGAAAGGGGTTACTGGGGTAACTCATTATGAGTGGCAAGGTCCACGACTTCTCTTATTCCACTGAAACCTACTGGAGGTTGAGTTGGTTTGCCTCAGTCTCTGAGTCACCTGCCCTGTTGGACTTGGGAAGTAGGGGATGTGGGGGAAGCAAGGAAGGTAGGGATAATACAGATTCCGGATCCCAGAGTCGTAGATGGCCCTGGTGTGGGTGCTAGAAAATTCAGACCGAAGGCAACACCTCTGCTGGATGCTTCTGTTCACCTGCTGAAGAAGGAGGCAGTGCTCAGCACAGAAGGCTCCGACATGCGTGGTTTCCATTGCCTCCCACATGTTGCCAAAAGTAAGGGGCCAGGGGCTCTCCCCAATCCCAATAGGAATAAGCTGATGTTTATTTATTTATTCTTTTTAGTTATACATGACAGTAGGATCGATTTTGATATATTCATACAAGCTTGGAATATGTCTTATTTCATTTAGGTCTTGTGGATATTCACGATGCTGAGATTCACTGTAGTATGTGCATACGTGTACATAGGAGAGTTAGGTCAGGTTCATTCCACTAGCATTCCTATTCCTATTCCTTCATTCCCCTTTGTCTAATCCACTGAACTTCTATTCTCTCCTCCCCATTGTTGTGAGTTACACCCACATAGCAGAGAAAACTTTAGAGCTTTAGTTTTTTGAGATTGGCTTATTTCCCCAGGCATGATAGTCTCCAGATCCATCCATTTAGCAGTGAATGTCATAAAGTCATTCTTTATGGCTGAGGAGTGATCTGATTTTTGACACTTTACTTCCTCCTTGCAGTGGGATCTCTGAAGGTATCTTGCTGGCAAAGTCATCTACCAGTTCAGCCGTGGTCATAGCTGGCTGGAGAAGTGTCTGGCTCTGTTGAGAAGGACTCTGGGGCACAGCTGCTCTAGCTTCATGAGGATGTGTCCTCATGTATCCCTGGCACATTTTTAGGACAAGAAAGTACAAATGTTATGTACTTGCCATCCTTGATCCAAACTTCTTTTATAACATTTTTTTAAATAAATTCTTGAGTTGTTTTAAGAGAGGTTTATGTGACTTAAGCTCACATAGTAAAAATTAAGAGTTTGAATGTCATGCTCATTGTTCCTTCCTGGCTGAATGGGGTCTCATTATCAACTGGGGCCCCTCTGAGGCTTTTCTTTTCACTGACCTTGTGTATGTGTACCTGCACATGTGTGTTTAAATGGAGAAAGGAGAGGCACAGAGACTCACTTTGTGGGGACAGGGGRATGCACAGTTGGGAAGTTAGCTCAGTCCTTCGGAGTATTATTTGTCATGGATGGAACCAGGCTCCTTGGTCAGTCAACCYTGAAGGGCCCTTMAGTTTCTGAAGTACAGTCTGAAACACAGCCCTGCCTGAGAGGCCCAGTCTTCTCATGCCCTTTCTTTACACATGACAAGGACAACATAAATATGGAATTGTACTAAAACAGGTTCTCTGGGATAACAAAAAACTTGGCTTAGTTACTTTTTTACAGGAAAGGAACAAGAAGCCAAGCACATATTGCATACTGTCTCTTATATGTGGAAATGAAAACAAACATTGACCTGAAGGTAGAAGACTGATTAGGGACATTGGGAAGGGTGCTGAGGCTGGGGAGGGGTGACATGATCAGTGTGTGCTGCATGCACATATGGAAATATCACACCAAACCCCATTAATATGTACAGTAGTGTGTTGATTAAAAACAAGAAGGTACTAAGATGCATCTAGACAATATTGTTATCGTAAACTCTTCTAATGATACTAAGGTTTCCTCAATCATCCTAAGTTTGATTGACAGGTCCTTGAATCCTTTGCTTTTATTTTTTGACCTTCATTTTTAACCTTCTGATCTCTGGGCATTTCACAGATCCTTAGCCTCTCTACCTAAATGCTAAATCTGCTCAAGGGTAATTGAAATAGAAAGTAGACAGGGCTTGTCAATCAGAAAACATGAGGTTTTCTAGAGGGGTTAGGTTTCCATAGAGCTTCATGATCCCCAAAGAACACAAACTGCTTGTTAGGTGTGTCTTCTTGCTTTTGGAAAACTCCATTTGTGCTGCCCAGGATCAGCCATATAATTCGCAGGGACCATTGGAAAATGTCAACGTGGGGCCCTTTGTTCAAACATTGCTGAATCCTTCAAGATGTAAGGACAGAACATTAAAGCAAGCACAGGCCCTTTGCAACTTCCCAGATTGTGTAACAGGAAACCACCTGGTGCTGCCTCTGCCACCACATCCTTCTTGGTGGCAGTGAGGCAAATCCAAGTCACAATCTTTGATCCGATAATGTTCTAGAATGTGTAGACTTAATGGGGGGCAGGCAGGGCTTCACAATTATGGTTAATGTTCCTTCATGTAAGTTGAGATAGGACTCAAGTTAACTTGCAGGGAACAGGTGCACCACGAAAACTTGGTTAAGTTCATTTCTCTGAAACAGTTAAAGTTCAAACACCTTTTATTTCAAGAATATTGCTTCTAGACTTTCCTGAAGCCAGAATTGTTCTATAAAAGTATCACAGAGTATTATACAGGATTAAAAAAAAACACAGTATGCTTCCTAATATCTTGGAATCTTTTTTACAAAGCACATCATTCATGACCATAAATATGTTTATTCTGTCATTCGGCCAATGACACACATCTGATAAACAGCTAGTTAATTTTAACATATGTACAGAGTCTATGATTAAGACTTAAAGTTACCAAAGATTCAACTATAACATGTTAAATTTTTTAAAGAGTTTACCTTGAACACTTAAAAGAAACATAATTTACCTAAATGCTTGAATTATCTAAAAATAAAAAGAAAATCACTGTTAAGCTAAACAAACAACAAACAAAACCTTCTTGGGAAGTTGAATGGGCTCTGATGACTCCGATGAGGTAATCCTTTTGCTGGAATTTAAAAATCTAATACGAAACAAGAATATTTGCAAGAGTACAGAGTTCTTCAGAAGCAATTTTGAACTATATCCTTAAACAAAACCAGAACTTGGCGATGGTCTTAAAAAGTTATATAACACAATGTTATAAAGTTAACCTCCCTTATGGTCTGTTTAAATTATGAGACATTGATGATTTTTGTTTATTGGAGAAAATTCGTTACATAAGTTCAAAACTACACATAATTTTTTCAAATGCTTAAGCTTATTAACCAGGCCAAGAAAACAAAATGCAGATGGAAATAAAAGGTCTTTAGTCCTTTTTTTCCTGTCAAGAAAATAACCACAATTTAGCAACCTTATTAAGCATACAGTGGACAGCTTGAGCCAGATGCAGACAGAGCAGGCAATCTTGTTTTATTTATTTATTTATTTGTTTATTTTTACCACCAACATTATTAGCCACGTCTTTCTGCTAATCAATTTTAGCAAGTCGAGGTAAAACACATGCAATATTTTCTGGCAAAAGCATGTTAAACAATATGTGATCCATACTGTGTGTCATCCTGGGGGATCTATTTGACTGCATCACACTGAGAGCAAACAGGGTGTCTGTGATACATCTGTAAAACAAATTAAATGCACCAAATACACATGGCATTCCAATCTCAAAGTGCAAGATAATTGAATCCACAATGATGGCACTGAAAAATTCCAGTGGCTCAAAATGAATCAAAACTTCCTTATGCTGGCAGCACAATGTCGCCAAGGGTGTTGGTTTTAGAAGCTTGGAAAGGCACAGTTTTAGCCATTTTGACTGGGTAACATTTACATATGCATGTCCCTATAATGCTCAAAAGATAATACTGGCTTAGTACCAAAACGAAAACCAAACAGAAAAAAAGCCCCAACCTTTCTTTCTATTCTTGKCAAATAATGAATTCTGATGAGTCCCTGTGTGCACAACACTTGCACACTAACTCTTCCTGCACAAAGGTACCCAGGGCTGCTTGGAATGTTGGTAGCTATGATTGCCCTTATTAGTTTACTAATAAAAAGTTAAAAAAAATACTGCATTTAGGATAAGGTAATAGTTTCATCTAATCGGAAGAGTGGAAAGCAGGCACTGCCTTCTAGATTGTAAGCTCTCCTTTGTGTGATTCTTCTCTGCTCTGCTGGAATGAATGGACTGGTCCATGATGGACATGTTGAAGGTCTGATGGACAGAGGCTCCACAGAATGCACAGGAAGATAAAACTGATGGTCAAAAACATCTTCTCCTGGACCAGCATCCTGGGGAAGTTCTTTCTGATGCCTGCTGATATGGGCTGCAGCCTGGGGGTAGGGCTGGTGCACCAACTCTGTCACACCATGGCTACTGAAATCACTTTCAGAAAGGAGTGACCTCTTCATTCCCCATCCATTTTTCAGTTTTACCATTTCTCCAGTGTTCAGAATTCAAACAATTCACTTCTGGAATGTCATTATTCTGTTCAAGTTTACTCTCTAGACTTAATGTTGGTTGGTTCAAATGCAGGGTCTGAAGGTTTGGCTGGCAAGGTCAAACGAGGTTCTTCCCCAACTGTGCGACTTAGGCCTTCATCTGACTCTGCAGAGGCCATATCCACTGGCGTAGAGAGCTCAGCAGAGACAATCAGGAACCCATCACCTTGAGCAGTTTTCGTCTGCTCAGAGTGACTGTTCAGTTTTCTGCTCAGAGTGACTGTTCAGCAGTGCAAATACTCCATCTATACCCTTCAAGTCATTAGTCCAGTCCACCAGACTACGTCTATAGTTGAGTCTGTACCTATAGATGTTTTCGTTCACACTGTATAGTTCCTCCGGGCCTTGCCAGCTCATGGCTGCCGTGAGTCTGGGCAGATTAACCTTCCCATCCGTCCCATAACTGTYCTCTGTGGAGAGAGAGGTAAAGGTGTCTCATTAGTGCAAAACATGTTTCCTACTCAACTGGACAAGCAACTGACCCTGCAAATCCATTCAAAATAGAACACTAAAAGGTATTTTTTCCTAATCAAGGAGTAGCCTTAATTACAAAGGTAATTGTGTGACAACTAAAAATTGAAAAAAAAAAAGCCAGGTGTGGTGGTGAATGTCTGCAATCTCAGCAACTAAGGAGGCCCAGGTGCAAGGATCATAAGCTTGAGGGTAGCTTGGGCAACTAGCAAGACCCTGTCTCACAGAATAAAAGGGGCTGCGAGATGTAGTAAATCATCCCTGGGTTCGATTCTCAGTACAGAAAAAGAGAGGAAAAAAAGGGAAAGAATAAAGAGCAAACAAATAAAAGCTTTTCCATGACGGTGTTGGAATTGGCACCGTCCTACCCATCAGAAGACTTGAGTTTTACTGTCACTCTGTCACCAGGAGAGCATGTGAGACTGTGTGAGTCTTGGTCAAGTGCCACTCCTCTCTAAGAGGAACTGGAGACTTTGGGGACACAACTGATTCCAGATGTTGGGGGGCAAAAACACAAGATGAATCTGGAACACACTGCTGGGCTAGAAAGCAATGCAGTGCTCAAGAATGATGGGGATGACCCAGCAGCACACTGAAGCCAATAGAAGGCACCAGTGGCTGAACTTGGAACACTTAGATCCTTAAAAGACATAATGATAGCAAAAGAACATCCATAGAATAAAAGGAAGGCTTACCATTCCATATGGATACAAATAAAGAAGTAAGAAGGGACATTACTTCTTTACCATGGAACACTACCTAAGAAATGGAAGGGACACCCAGCATCTTGGGAGGCTGAGGCAGGAGGATTGCTAGTTCAGAGCCAGCCTCCATAACCTAGCAGGACCTGAGCAACTTAGTGAGAGCCTATCTCAAAATAAAATGCAAAATAAGGCTGGGGATGTGGCTCACTGGTTAAGTGCCTCTGGGTTCAGTCCCCAGTACCAAAAAAAAAAAAAAAAAAAAAAAAGGGAGGAACAACTGGGGTGGAAAAATCAACAATTGCATTCATCATGTTAACAAGGAAGAATCAAGACTGTCTGCAAAAGCTAGTAGGTGAATTACTTATTAATTGAAAAGGAAGAATAGCAATTATACAGAGGATTAACCTAGCGATCCGATCCATACTTTAGCCAAGTTATCAAAGGTTGCACCACCAAACAGATGTCATGCAGCTCATGATGAGATACCCTGAAGGTACCATGTTGTTTTAGGTGTATTCCTGCCCCAAATGCAAAACTCCAGTCCCATGATGAGGGACATCAGACAAACCTCAGACTGAAGGACACTCTGCAAAACAACTGGCCTGTACTCTTCAAAATGTCATGACCAATGACAAAATGTTGAGAAACTGTTTCAGAAGAAGTGATACTGAAAAGAGGTGACAATTTAGCACAATGTATGGTTCTGGATTGGATTCCAGATCAGACAAAGAAAAGCCAAAAAACGATAGTTATGACATTATTGAGACAATTGGAGACATTTAAATGTATAATGTAGATTGGATGATACCTATCAACACTGAATTACCTGATTTCAATAAATTTACAGCAGTTATGTAAAAAGATGCTCTGAGGAAATATATATTAAAGCATTTTTATATAAAGAGGTATGATGTCTGCAAATTACTTGAAACTGATATAGAAAAAGAAAAGTGTGTAATATGGGGGGAGGGGCAGAGAGAGCAAGGGGAAATGATGAAGCAAGTAGGGTAAAATTTCTTGGAACTATTCTTGTAAGTTTTCTGTAAATGTAAAGTTAAGTCAAAATAGCATGTTGAAAAATCAAAATAGCATGTTTAAGACCTAAAACGTCCATTTCCCTGTCCTGGGTTCTTCCAGCTCACAAAAGGAAGCCTTTGTCTTGGGCCATTCTGAGGTTCTTTATTCAGAGAGCAAAGGTCTGAGTAGGGTTGTTCTGGAGAGAGCATCTCTAGGCTAAATCTAGATGATTTCAAGTTGTGGTTATTGTCCCCCAACCCTCGAAACAGAAAGGTTGTGAATCCATTAAGAAAGATTCAAGAACACACCTGGTTCTCAAACTGAGTTGTAGTTCTTCCTTAATGACACAAAATATGGTAATGTCCTATGAGCTAGTGTCTCTACCCTCTTCAGAACACTGTTTCTTTTGTGAAAATGTTCTGTATTCTATTTTCCTAATAATAGCCGTCACTTCCTGGAGCTTGCTGTGTGACGTGCTGCTCTCAGCATGCTCACCAGCAAGGCTGGGACTTGAACCAAGGCTGACTGTCTCTAGCACCTGTGTTTATAACCACAGTGCAGTATAGCCATGTCACCCACAGCCATCATCAGAACCAACTGTTGTTCTATGGAGAGATGAATCAATACAAACCAAAGCAAGGTGGATGGTCTGGTTGTTGAGGGTGGAGCTCCATGTAGTCACCTGGCCTGGAGGACCTTGTACAAAGGCTCTTGAAGCAGTCTTGCCAGAGCCAGGCTGCCCCAAACTACTCACCATAGTCTCACACTGACCAGTTCAGGATAGGACAACTGGTCGACCTCAGATTTTGGAAAAGGACTACTGATTGACCACCCAGGGAGAGAGGAAGAGAGAAGAGGAGAAGAAGCCCTCTAGACCTCATAGTCATACACTGATCAGCTCAAGATAGGACAACGAGTTGGCCTCAGCTTTTTGGCAAAGGACAACTGGTAGTTCATGGCGGGGGGAGGGGGGGAGGGGATAGAGAGAAAGAGAGAAAGATAAACTTCCCCTTACAGCCAGTAGGCCCACAGCCATGACTGCCAGAAACTCTTCTAAGACATCAAAGAGCAGAAATGGTGACTTTCAAATGCAAAAGGAAAAATAAATACCCTATCAACCTGTTGATCCTACTCTATTTTGCAAGACAGAAGTTATTGCTTACAAATCAAACTAAAAATTATTTCCTAAGTTGTGGGTGCCATGACTTCTTCTTACTGGAAAAAGACTGCATAAGAAAAGCGTTTCGGCTTCCTTTTCCTCTTACACTTTGTAACTATGAAAACAAGTCAACAAACAAAAACAAAAAGAGGTAACAGCTTTTTGAAGACCCTCTAAATAAATGTGAAGATTAAATTGTGAAAATCTATAAAAAGAAGATAGTTTTAAAACACTTATAATTCACATCGTACATGATAAATTTTCTATAATACTCTGCTGAGCTTTTCAATTCCAAATCTTTCAGATCTGATAGTTATCATTTTTCTCATTAATTTAGGATTAAGATACATTTTAATTAGTTTTTTTTAACTAACAAAGTCTTAAGGAACTAAGGCTTTTGAGTGGGCTTAAGTGGTGTGCCATGGATGGAGGGCCCTGTTCTGGTAAACGCCACCCAGACATACAGGTTTTCTGCTAGCTCCACATATACAGTGGCTTGTTTTGCATCTGTTCCAACAAGATGCAAAGGCAAGATGAAAGGCAAGACCACATTCAACATGCATGTAGGGTCCAGGGAGTCCCCAGGTTTGATTGACAAGGCAAATGTCCTCTTAGCAACTCCCCTGTTAAGATGTGTCTGCCATGGTGAACATCTGCTGTAAGATGGTTCACCTTATGGATATGAAAAGGTAGAGTCTGGAAATTCCAGTTATTTTGAATTGTAGAGTATCCTTAGAGTTGTCCTTTGGTAAGGAGCTTCAAAAGAAAAAGAAAAGTAGCAAGTAACATCCTGTCACCCTTGTTCATATACTTCCCAAAGCTGAAGTTGCCAAAACTGTGTCAGAGTGACCACAAAAGCAATTGATTATTTAGCTCCTTGGGTGGTGGTGGCAGGGATCAGGAAAGGGGAGCATCCTGTCCCAGATGCCTGTCCCTTAACTGCACCCCAAGTACAGTTAAACCTCCTTCATTTCAGTTGWCCAGGAAGGACTTCATGGAGATAACTGACTCAGCTCTGACTGGTGTGTGTTGTAAGTTACCTGCTAATAATACCCTTTCACCTCTTTCATGACAGAAGTGAGAGGATGCTAGACTGAAAATCCCTCAGCTGTAAAACAGAGTGCATCAAAACATAACTGTGAAGTCAATATTTAGTGTTAGGTTCTCTTATAACGTTACACTTCACAAATGTCTGAATGCGACTGCAGGAAACAGGGAAAATAGTCCTGGTGTATGAATCTTTTAAATGTACTTGGAGGGGGGAGGTGACTCAGGGTCGATCTGGGGACAGATGGAGTAAAGGAAAGAAGAAAAATGGGAGAGAAAATAGAAGAGATGCATAATGGCTATCAAATATCCTCCAAACAGTTTCTTTGGTTTGTTTCCATCTTCTTCAACACCTTCCTATTGTCATTTAGCTTCTTGTTAGACAAACCAGTTGCTTCTAAAAGGAGGAATCTGTGACCCTAGCTCAGAAGGATGGAGGGAGAGGTGGCAGGATGAACAAGGTCCCCTGAAATGGCAATATTCTTTTATTTTTCTGAGAAGATATCCATCTGCATGGTGCTGACTGAGTCCATGTTTCTTTGGCAGAAATTTTTCTCCTAAGAGGATTCATTAATAAAGATTCTGGGGCATCCATGCCTCAGTGTCCCCTCAGAAGAGGTGGCAAGGACAGTCCCCATCTTCTTACATGGCATGCCTTTAATAGACCCTCCTGAGGTCTGTGCAATGGCTGATATTCCTGGCGACCAAGGCACACATTCCATGTGTGGGTCCCCCCTCCAGAGCACAGTGAGGTAGGAAGGGATAGATGTGGCTGAAGGGGGAGAAGATGTCAAGGCTGGATGCTTATGAGATTCATGTGTCTCAGTGCTATGTTGAGACTTGACTGAGTTTTGACTCTAGATATCCTGCCCTTACCTCCGGCACCTTCTGTGACTTCACCACCACCCTGCAGAGCCTTCCATGTTCTCCTAATTACAGCTGCTTTTGCCACTGAATGACCATTAATGAGGAAATTCCTTTGGTTTACTCCAAGTTCAGCTTTAGAATGTCCTTAAATTTCTCATTAGTCCTTTCATGTTACCGATGTTATATTAATAAAAATATTTAATGGTTTCCATGAAACCTCTCATCAAATTAATTGTCACTACAAAGAGAAGAGATCTCCCACCCTCTCCCAGGGCTCTGAAAGGCCAGTCTGTGTTTCTCTCCTTTCACATCATTCCATGCTCCAAAGCATCACCCAACAAGCACACAAGCATGGGGGTGAGTAAATGCTTGGAGATGCAGCTTGCTGGGTTGTTGAACTGATTTAAAAGCAAAGCGAAAGATCTGTAACCAGGAACCAAATGTGATGAAGAACCCACAGTTCCAACAAGACACAAAGCATGCACTCCAAGCTATCTTCCAAGATATGGTAAGAAGCAGAAATTAGTTTGAATGGTGAAAACATGCAATTATTGAAAAGAATTTTCCAAGAATAAAAAAATAAATGTGGATACCTGTGTGGGTCATAGCTTCCTCCATCTTTATTTCCTGATATAGGAAAATACAAGAGTGATTTATGTTAGCTTGAGAACTTATAAAACCATACACTATGTAGTTTTTCATGCACAACATCTAAACCCTAGAAAGAAACATATTGGGTTAAATACAGAGTGCTAAAATCCAGAGATTTTCTACTAGAGGGGTTCGAAATGAGGACTGAAAGCTGCAAATAAAAAGGTTTAAGGTTAAAAAATAAAAAAAGTCACAGTTGCCATGAAAAAATAGAGTTGAGTTCATTTAAAAAGCAGTGAAATGAGTACTTCCGGAAGTTCACATAATTCTCAGTAGAAGTTAAATTTGGGCTCTTTTTCAGACAAAACACTTGAAAAATGGACCCATAATGATCTCCCTTAGGAATAGTCTAAAAGGTGGATGACTTGAAGTGGAGCAGCAATAACGGACTCCACCTGGCACGTCATTCATCATTAAGGACTTTATCAGATGTCACCAAGTAGAGCTGCACTGTCAACACCAGTGAGTTAGAGAGTCATGTTCTTTTGGGGAGAGGTATCTGGGTGTAATATTTCTAGTGCCTCTAATAGTTGGTTTCGATTCCAGGCCTTTGTGGGCTGTTTCTTTCTTTCCTTTCTTCTTTTTGTAAGATTTCAGGAAAAGGTCTTGAGATAAGCAGGATATTTGAAAAGATTTGAGCTGAGAGGGGTCAGTGACCAAGGGACCTATTCTGCAAGCCCCACCCTCTCTTGGCTTAGTGACTAATTTTCACTAAGTGTTAACTGAGAAGTGCTGATTGACAACTGAGATGTGATCTCCCTCACAGGATTTACATTTTCTTATAGGACGCTCACAGCTCAGAAAACTTTAGGATCCCATAGTGGTGGACATTATAGGCAGGAAGGATGGGAGGGGGGCCCCCCTTTCTCCCTTCAAGTCGTATGGCCCAGAGAGCTTCCCACTTTTATTCTGAGGATGCTGGCTCTGCATGGGACCCACAGACACAGTTTAAAACTCAGCTGCACACAAAGGGCTCCTGCAAACTGCTCCCAAATGCCTGTGAGTCCAGTTCTTTTTCTTTCCTTCTCTGGATAGCTGATCCTTAAATCTTTACATAAATATTGAGAAACAGTGAGTATTCTCATTAACTGGTAAAAAGCCGAGGCTGATTTTGAAAGAGAACTGCATCTCCATGAGCCAGAGGAGAAGTCAGTTCAACACTTTAGAGCAGGGACGGAACACTTGGCCGATTCCATACAGACCCTATTATACTTTCAGATCCCAAGGGAATACACTGCTCAGATATCTCTATTTTCAGATGGGAACTATTGGCAAAAAGAAATCTAATTCATTGTATTACAGACAAGGGTTCAACTGGGGGAGAGACCCAAACTGTGACAAACAGAAATAGAGCATTATGTATTTCCATCCAAGTTCCCTTAACAAAAGAGGATCTTTTGATTTTCTTAGAGAGTATTTTATGACTGCTGACAGCAATAGCAAAGAAATCCTCAGTTTTGTCTTGTCTTCTAATAGATGCTTTATCAGGAATTGGAGTTTACTAATCACATAGACTTGAGGGAGAGATTGGAAAAAAACACCAAATCACCCAAACTTTTTTTTTGTGTATGGGAGGGGGTGTCCCAGGGATTGAACTCGGGGGCACTCAACCACTGAGCCACATCCCAAGCCCTATTTTGTATTTTATTTAGAGACAGGGTCTCACTGAGTTGCTTAGGGCTTCACTGTTGCTGAGGCTGGCTTTGAACTCATGATCCGCCTGCCTCGGTCTCCAGAGCTGCAGGGATTATAGGTGTGTGCAACCGTGCCCACCTTTACCAAATCTTTTGATGGCTAGTTTTTTGACTGTGCACCCAGAGCTAAACTTAGAGACCAAATTATGTTTGGAATTGCCTGGAAATTTCCCTATACATATCCAGAGCTATATGTTTTTATGCATGTAGATATCTCATAGACAGAAAACTTGGTCACACAAAGAGACCTCTAGGCAATACAGAAAAACACAAGATTCTTGTCCTTACCAATTTCCAGGCCCTTCGGTCTTGGGTTGCACTGTTTATACCCTTGACAGCTGCGGAGCTCCATTAGCTGTACATGTAGCTGATTCAAAATGCCTCGTTCTACTGTGTGCACGGTGTTTGTGAGCTGGGGAGGAAGAGGTAGGAGGACAGATTGAAGTTCATGTCCTGGTTGTTCTCTTTCCAACAATCTTTCTAAAGTAAAAACATATTGTCCTACCTGATAAGGATCTGTATTCATATCAAAGTACTCCAGAAAGCCAGTGGCGAACTCACAGAAAAGAAAATTATGTGTCTCATTCACTGTCCGCAAACACCAGTAGGTGTTATTGTTAGAACTGGTACAAGCGCAGAAAGATCCCACTGTTGGATAGGAAAGGAAAACAAAACAAAAAAGAATGAAAAACCAGTCACTTCCGTTCTCTACACTGGAAGCATCAAGTGTTCTTTCTTATACTTCCTCCCATTCTATGCAAATTTGCTGTGAAACTCCCTGAAAGTGGAAAACAAGATGGTGGGTTTGTAGAGGGAGAAGGTCAAGTGGAGTTTCAGCCTGATTCTCCCCTTAGTTCTGTTAGAAGTCTCCAAACTGGGGTGAATGCAGATTGGGAAAAAATTATCAGAACATCTCCTGATAGTTGTTCTTTACCTTTTTTGAAAAAGGAAAGAAATGGAACTGGTGCTATTGCCTGTTCTCTAGGTCACGTGGCCAGTGGGAAAAATGGTCAATGGAAAGACAGGGTTCTGCAGTGTGCAAGGTTTTGGAGAAGGCTTGAACCCAGGTTGGTGGATTCTAGGATGATGTCATTTGAAATCACTGTAGACTCATTTTAATATGTGATTGGCTTTGACCTGAACATCTTTTGTACCATGCAGAAATTGCCTGGTACAAAGTATTGAAAAGAGACTATCAAATTTAAAAACAAATCATCCACTCTTTTATTTCCAAAAAGGCAAAGGGTACAACTTTGCTGACCTTCCTGTCAATGGTAATCGAGTTTCAGGAACATAGTGCCTAGCAAATATTTTCAAATCAATTAGGATAGTCATACTTATTAGGATAGGCAAATATTCCTTGTACACTATACATTTTACATGTATTAGCTCACTGAATTCGCAAATTAACCTTTGGGGACAGTTTATTATTATCATCCTCATTTTGCCCATAAGAAAACTAAGGCACAGAGAAGTTAAGTAATTTGTCCAGGTTGAATAGTTGACAATTGGCAATGTGGGGGTCTGACTACAGGCTTATTCTTAACTGCTAGACTCTATTGTCCTTTGTAGTATAAGATGCACTAAATCTGTCCATTTAAGCGAAAAGGGATATTTTAAACAATAAGTGAAAACTGATTGTTCTAAAAAAAAAATCAATAGATTTTATTTTTTGGTGTAGCAGGTTCACAGAAAATTTGAGAGGAATATAAGAGTGTTCCAATATATCCCCATGGATATACAACCTCCCTTAGTACTGACATCCCACAGCAGGCTCATTTGTTAGAAATGATGAACCTACTTTGACTTATCAGCACTACTGTGATTGTACATTCTACGGGTTTGGACCATATATAATGGCAATCATCTGCCATTATATTTTCATACACAGTAGTGTCATTGACCTAAAAATCCTGTGTTCTATGCTCTCCTCACTCAATCCTGTCATGTTTTTACATCTTAGAAATGGATGATTGAGAATGATTTCATTGTTATATGATTTTTTTTTTCATTGAAAGCAGGTGCTATGTTATTCATAATTTATATTATTTTTAGTTAAGCATTTAGCTCATATCTAAATAAGTTAAAAACCCATGGAACCAGAACTTTCTAATCTGTGCATAAATCATCCAAATCAATATTTTAAATAGGGTTTGAGCTTGTTTTATAAAATATATTAATATAATACCTTTTGATTGCTTTGAAAGAATAATTGATGAATCTCAGGAGTGATGAGAATTTATAAGAGAAATTTCAATAAAAATGACTGTTTAAGGGTTGGGGTTATAGCTCAAAATTAGTAGAATGTTTGCCTCACACGCATAATGCCCTGGGTTCAATCCCCAACATCACACACACACACACACACACACACACACAAAATGAAATGAAATAAAATAAAAAGACTATTTAGTTAACAGTAGTACTTTAAAAAACAAATACCCCAATTGACTCAGCATGCTAAGGATACACATCTATTGAATCAGCACATCTTTCCAAGATATTTTTCAAATCAAGGCAGTCATAAGACCACATTTCCAAAATGAACTTTTGGTTCCCTACATTGTAAAGAATGACATCGAGATTGAAAAAAGAACAAAAGCATACTTAGTAAGTGTAAGCCACATATCTTGGGACCCCTAAAGGATCAATTGAAAATAATTTTTAAGATTCTTTACTTTTGTCTCTTTTAAAATTTTTATTTTGTGAATTTTCATATTGTACTGGACAAGTTAGTATGGTAAAATTATAGACTGTGTGTTCATTTTAAAAACTGATAGTGGTGCATAGTCAAAAATGTTTAGAGATCATGATCCCCTCTCTCTCTCTCTCTCTCTCTCTCTCTCT